TTAAGCCAGAGGATCTAGTATTAAAAAAATAATGTATAATATCAGATTTGTAATAAAAGGAGCTTTCAAAGCCATGATTGTCAAAATGTGTTCCCTGGCTTAATGGGAAACAGCAATTCTTGCTGCCAAAAAAACCCCAAGAAAAACAAACAGTTTTAAGAGATGTCCAAACAATAATCTATGTCACATGTTTCTTACAGTTGTTTTCATTTTAGAAGGGCAAACATATTGCAGTTTCTTTCATCACCATTTAGCAAACCAACATTCCTGGAAACATTTAAAACCTGAACAAGTAAAATAAGGTGTACTTAATAAAGCTGCGATGGCAGATGGTTTCATACTGAATAGCAATTTCTATGCTTCTAAAATTTACCTATGTAAAACACCGTTAAGAAATATGTACTTTGAAATAACACTGGCTAGAGGCATGGCTAAAAGCACAGAAAAGAATAATTAACAATAATGTTTAGATAGCTTTTCATTAACCTGTATGGTTTTTTTTTTCAATGAATGAATTGGATTATATTGGGGAGATATTCATGCCATCATTTTATCTAATGTACAGTATCTTGGGTTCACAGGGGTGGCTTCAAAAATTTCAGCAACCAGTTGTCTGCCTGGTTGCTGGGGGGGGGGGGGGGGGGGGGGGGGGGGGGGGGGCCGCAGGGGCGCCCCCCACCCCCGGGGGGGGGGGGGGGGCATTTTTGCCCTCCCCAGGCTCCAGAGGCTTTCCTTGAGCCTCTGGGAGGGTGAAAACAGCCTCCCCAAGCTCCGGAGGCCCTCTGGAGGCCAGAAACGGGCCTGTTTCCAGCCTTCTGGAACTTCTGGGAGGCCCATTTTTTGTCCTTCCTGAGCCTCCACATGGACCCTGTACTTACCCGGCATCCAAAACAGACCACAGGGGGACTCCTAGGAGGGGCAGGGTGGGTATGGCCAGCCAGGGGTTGGCTTTACCGGTTCACCGAACCGGTAATTAAACAAGATAAAATTAGATACCGCCCAAATGGGGACAATCAGTAGCAGCCCACCCCTGGCTGTTCGTAAATTAAACATAATCTTTTCTTGGGACCTAATCTCCAAATCATTAGCCAGCTGGCAAAATTTTCAGACTGCAGAAGTTCTTTCTCAAGATTGGATAGATATTATTTCAAACAGAGTTCTCTATGGGAAACAATTAGTCCACATTTTGCAAATAAAAAAATGAAAAGTCCTTTGATTCAGATTTTTCTATGCTTCATTTATTGATATAATTTATTAAGAATAATATACAATATTCACACACTCTTGGTTTTGTGTGGGAGCTATCACTATACTGAGGCAGTGAAACTAGAGAAAAATTTCATTGTTGCAACAAAAAGTCCAGGAAACTATTGAAAAACAATGTTTTAATTTAGAATCAATCTTTAAACAAACAAATCATTCCTATGTCTTTTAAAAATGACTTTAAGGTGCAGAGATAATAAGTCTTGTGATATCTTAATAACTCACACAAACTTTTCTGCATAAAGAAAGATCCAGGAACATTTTGTTATAAAAATAAACATCTCTGGGTGAGATGGGTAGCATCCAAGTTAAATAAATAAATAAACATTATTTAGAAATAGAATTTACAATATTCTGTACATTTTAACAAGGGCAGTTTCATATGACAATATTGACTTTTACAGTGACCAATCACACTGGGATATTAATGCCTGCCAATCTGCCACCCACCACCACCACATTCACCTTATTACACCCCAAATCCTCATACACTCTCACTGTGGGTGAACAAGGGAGTAAATCATCACTAACTAGGGCAGTAAGGAGGGTTGCCATTGTACTTCTCCACTTCCCTCCTGGAGGTAGTTTAGATGCTTTGCTTTGCCCCCATTCCACATAATCCACTCCAACTACAGCTAAAGTCTTTCCTCATCTACTTCCCTTTTCTTAATGCAGTCTTTGGACACACGTTGCTATAAGATAGCAAAGATGGTCTATGATCCTGTCTGCTTTAGTTCCTTTGCCCCCGGAGAAAGATGGCTGCTGCTCAGAATAATGGGCTCCATGGTAGTTGTAAAAACTCAGGCCAGCCTCCAACTGAACTACCAGTCTGAGTGCTCTCCTGCTGCCTTTCACTTTTGACACCTGGGTCCCCAGGTCTTCTGCAACATTTCCCTGGTTCTTCACCACTCCTATAGCTGAGCAGGACAACACAGTTCCCCACCTCCCCAAAAGATATCAGTTGCAGTCAAGTCATTATTGCCGCTTCAGCCAGATAAAGATTTTCACTGACTCCACTGCAGTCAAAATGCAGCTAAACTCCATGAGGCTATTGTTAAGCATCTCTATTCCCCTGAACTACTGATTGGTTATGTTGTTGTGCTATCATTATGCCACCAGTTCCTCAGTCGGCCTGATCCACATCATCTTGTCGGGCTTTGGTGTCTTTCTTGGTTGCTGATCCATCTGATTCTGCTCAATCATCCTGGAACTTCTCAATGTTGCTATCCTGGGTTTGCTAATCCATAACCTTGTGGCTCTATGGAAAGCTATCGAAGCAGTAGTTGCAACAGAAAGAAATGAACCCTTTCCTGCCAGAGAGCAGCAAATGCTCTGGGAACAGAACGGTTGTTCTCTGCAATAGCTACTGGAGCCTCTCCAGGTCTTATCAGTGGTAGAAACAGAGGTTGAGACCATCCATACCCACTCAAGTGTCCACACAGCTCATTTCAAATGCTTTAACCACAAACTCCCTTATGTTGATACCATCTCTATTCTATCCTGACACTGTTATGAAAAAGAAAGTTTCTTTTGAGCAGGTCAGATCACTATTGTACTATTTTTCCAGAGAGCTAAAAAAAAAAAAGAATAATTTGCAAGGCCAGCCAAGCTGTTAATATAGATATATCTTCTCTCTCTCTCTCTCTCTCTTTTCTTTTTCTTTCTTTCTTTCTTTCTTTCTTTCTTTCTTTCTTTCTTTCTTT